ATTGGTGGTTTGTTTCTGTTTTTTTTTTTTTTTTTTGTGGTCCTTAGTGAGACCCCCGGTGCAGTTATGAACGCTGAGTAACGATGCCAATGTCAGAGCGGTCAAGCGTTCGCTGCAGCTGCCATTCATTTTTCATGCACCTCTTCCCATGTGTGAGCGGAGTGACAGGATGTGGCTGCTTAGGTATCATAATTATCATATCAGGAGAGCCATCCGAGACGAAACTGGAGCCTTGACTCCTGCACTCCTGACTCATGCCATTTTCAGCATTCGTCTTTATTTAAGTGAGAGAGGGCTGAGGGGAGAGAGGGAGGGGGGGGAGGCTGGGAGGAGATGGGGGTGAAACAGGAGGCTCTCCAGGGGCATATTTATCACTGAAATCTCATCTACATGCACTCTCTATACTGTTTTTTTAAAAAGGAGCCTCTATCAGGATGCCAAATCTAGTCAACGTATTGATAAAGGAGCTGTTGTATGGGTACAGTCTGCACGGCTGCGTCAGGTGCAGTGAGAATGAACGGCACAAAAAAAAAACCAAGTCATTCTGAAACACAAGAAACACTATTTCTGGAAACAGAAAAGGGTTTGAAGACAGAGGAAAGATTTGTTCTGCGTACTTCAAAGAGTAGACGGAGAAACATCCTCCAAATATTTAAAAACAAAAACAACGTTATCCAAATTTTACTTATATTTTACACTTTTTTGGGATTTTCTTTCTTCAATTCCTGCACATAATATGATCATTGTGTTCAACTAAATACGCCCCGGTTTCACACTGAGTGAATTGAATGTAGAAAAGCGTTATATTTTTACTACATATACTTTTGATGACATTTGTGTTTTGTGGAAAATGTCAGAGATTTATTTTTATTTTTAGTGAATATTCCCCAGTGGAAACGGAGGAAACAGATTTCAGCACCTGATCTCTCATAGATCTTATTAAAAAAAGATCGCCCCCTCGTTCACGGCACAAGTGTTCTTTTATTTGGTCTAAAAGCAAAATTCACGACCTCCTGCTCCTGCTTTTGTTTGTCTTATCTGCTGCAGGGCTGCGCTCAGCCGTGCCAATTAACACTTGTCTAATTGCTGAAATAAATTCCCCTCATTGAGGATATCTTTGCTTCGACACTGGCTAGGATTCATGGGCTTTAGTACAAGGCACTCTAAAAGGAACTGGTTGTAAAGAAAACAAGGTTTAAAAAGCAAACAAACAAACAAAACAAAAAAAAAACACATCTTTAAAACTCCCTTTTTAATCCTTTTCTTTGTTTGTTTGTTTTATAGGAAGACGTGGAGCCGAGGATTCACGAGAGTCTGAGTATTGAAAACACTCTCTGGGCCAGCACCGTCGTCGCATCTGGTGAGACTGATTCAATCCCTGTCGTTTTTTTTTTAACTGAACGTGATTTAAGACGGAATATTTCATGAACTCTATCTTTTTGATAAAAGTGGAGAAAGATTGATTTCTTTGATGCATGCCCCCTGGAGGCCACACCCACCTTTTTTTTAAGTCATTTTGGCTCTGACAGCCTCATACCTTCACGGCTTTACTGAGGAAACTGTGATGGTCAGGTGACCAGATGTCAGTGTTACCTTAATGACCTCTGACCCCAAGGATTTCATGACCTGATGAAACTTTTACATGTGAACATTTTATTTATTTATTTTTAACCACAATGCACTGCTTCTGTAGAAAATACACAAACATGAACCAAATCTGCAGTAGAATTTTATTTTATTTTAATTTTAATTTTACACTGCTAACATTCAATCGACCCTAAAGTCCTGCTCTTAAATCAAGTCTAAAAAAAAACCCCCCACAGTTGAGGTGATCTCCCCTGACACACACACACACACGCACACACTCCCCACAGAAAACAGTTTTGTCAGTTGAGAGTGTTTGTGACGCTTTCAGGAACGGCCGCATCATTGATCTGTGGTGTTGCTCTCCCCTCTGGCCTGACCTTGAGCAGAAGGGAGAAAAAAAAACTCTCTCTCTCACACACACACACACACACACACACACATTCTTCATATTTGAAGGCCTCACATCCTCCTGGTTCTGGGATGTTTGAGTTTTTCATCCTCAGTTCTCAGTGTTTCCTACGTCGTCTCTTAGTCTAATGTTGAACCTGTCAATCATCCTCACGCGCTGGAACCACTGGTTGAGCCACACTTTCCTTTTCTTTTTGTTAGTTCTATTCTCACTACTTGCTCCTGTGTGTGTGTGTGTGTGTGTGTGTGTTCAGGTTTATTAACGCCTTTGCTCTCCCATTAGGCTCATTTAATATTAATGACCCATTCATCCATTGTAATAAAGCCACTGTAATGAATTGGCAAATAAAGATAGGGGGCGGGGGGAGGAGGGTGGGTCATATTGATCAGCTTTTACAAGCTTCCACCGGGGGCCGCCGAAGACCCTGAGAGTCTTAAACGTATTAAACTCCTGTCCGATGGTCCGGGCTCAACCTTATTGTGTTTCCCATCATGCACTTCATCACGCTTGACCATGATGAGTGTGTACATGTATTGGTGCGTTTGCAGTTGTGTGTGTGTGTGAGTTAATGAGCAGCATCACTTTCTTTGTCGTTTTTCTGCTGCTCAGGAACAGTGATCGGTGTGGTGGTCTACACGGGCAAGGAGACCAGGAGTGTCCTCAACACCTCCTTCACCACCATCAAGGTGAGTGACTTATAGAACTCTGACAATGTGTGTGTGTGATTGATTTCCTCAGTGGGAAAGGTTTTCAGCAAGACCCAATTATTAAACATTAAACAAAACTTAAACTAAACAGGAAGTTATGTCAAGCTAAATGGTGACGACAAATTTAATCATACGTTAATCAATTTATAAAAACTGGCAGGGATGAAGTTCAGAAGGACCAAAAGAGGGCGAGAGCCAATCAGAGCCAACCAAATCCAATCAGATGATGAAGATAATAATAAAAAATAATCATAATAATGTTGATGTTTCCTATTACAATGCCATAAAAGCCAAATTTAAATGGTATAAATTTGACTAGAAAAAGTTCTGCTTTTCCAACAGGAAAGCTGTGAACAAAAAATTGTAAAATTCTGTCATTCACAAGAAAGAAATTACATAGAATTTGACTTTTGTTTTGTACTGAAAAAAATGTAAGTTTTTTTTTATTGGGTGTTGCAAAAAGAAAACCCCAGGCCCTCAGTTGATATGGACGTGGACACGATGTTTAGTAAACGCTGCAGAGAGAGAAACATCCAGACAAAGTAACATCTGTTCGTAGTTCCCCTCTCTGCCATCTCTGCTCCCCGGCCTCTAATCACTAATCAATCACTGCGGCAAGGTGCTTCTTTAACCTTGACTCTCAGACAGAGTTGGGCCGTCAGTGCTAAAGGTCAGCGCCTGCCGCTAATTAACCAAAAGGGAAATTAACTAACCCAGAATTTAAATGACATTTTTCAGCAGAGGTGTTAGTCCGGCAGCGCTCCTCTGGCAGGACACACTCCTCCTCCTCTTGCCGCAGCACAGTTTTGACACCGGCTGCTTTTATTAAGAACGCTGATGCGACCCGGTCGAACTGCAGGGCCCCGCTGTTTTGTGTAAGCTGGCCAGCTGAGAGGAATTCAATATTTCAAGGAGATGATGTCAGAAGTGCCAATACGGAGGCTGGAGATTGCAGGGGGAAAGTCGATACAGTGCAGCTAAAGTCAAAAGAAGGTTTTGGCCTCATATAATGTGTAGTGACACTGACCAGGACAATGGCTGCGCTTGATCAATCTGACAGGATGTGGGGCAGACTGGCTCTTTGTCTCACTGCTGCTCTGACGGATCACTGTTTCTGCGGAGACACGAAACAAAGTCAAGAAAAACAGAGGCCTCTATTTAAAAAAAACAAAGTTCAGACGTATTTTCTCCCACACTGAGAAAAACCAATTTCAGGTTAATTTTCCATCCCGATAAAATTTGCTTCTGAACAAAACTGATTTGCAGTGGGTGAAGCTGATTGGACAACAGCAAAATTATTATTTAGCTAAAAAGCTACAGATAAGTGAGAGACTAACTTTAAATGTTAAGTGGCTCTAACGACCGTATTCAGATTCCATTACGCTACACCTGGTAGTGGTAAATAACTACAAGTTAGGAATCGAACCCACAACCCTCCAGATGTCAAACAACTCCACTCACGACTGAGCTTAAACCACAAATATTTGTTAACGGGAGAAGAAATGTTATTGAGCTAAAAATATCAGCTGAAAAAATGTTCACCGTGAAACTAAAACATAAAAGGAATAATTAATGTTCGTCAATGAAATGTTAAAATGACTGAAGTCGACCTAATAATTAATGGAATAATTAATGTTCGTCAAGGAAATGTTAAAATGACTGAAGTCGACCTTTAAAATCAGACAGATGGTAGATGAGAACAGACCAAAAAAAACTGGTTTAGGACTTAGCCAAGAAAATAAACTACAAAAAAGGAAATGTAAGCGTTGATGTTTAAACGTAAACAAAAACAAACCCATATTTTCTGGTTTTGTCAAATTCACAAACCAGCTGTAACTGTTTTTTTTTCTCAGATTGTTAAAAAAAAAAACACAGATTCTCATCACCTTCAATGGTCTGGTTGATGAATAGAGGGTAAAAAAAGCACTTTTGTTCACTGATAACATCTTCAACTGGAGGTAATTGAGTCTCGGCTCTGACCGGGGGAATAATGACTTCATCTGATCCTCCACCAGGCCTTCAAAAAATTCGGAGCGACCATTGTTGGAGCTTTTCGGGCGTCATTCCCCGTCTTAATTTTTCTTCATTTTAATCCAGCCAAACCCCTCCATTTTACTCAATTACTCAAGCATGAACCATGTAGTGAGGCGGTGGGTGGGTGGGTGTGTGTGGGAGGGGAGGAGGGGGGGGCACCACCCTCTCCTTCTCCACAGTTTTAACAGCCAGTGATAAATCAGTCCCACTGGACTCCCCCGTCCTCGGGGGGAACGGACTTCACTGGCCTGAAACCCCCGTGGTTAAGTCAGTGGAGGAATTTTGCTGCTGCTTTTTTTTTTAATACATGCAACTCCTCCTCCTCCCCCCCTTTTTTTCCCTCCCCCCTCTCCTGCCCCCCTCCTTTTCAGAGTCTCCCCTTTATTGGAGGGAGTAGAAATGTTATGTTCTGCTGTTTTTGTAAGCGTGGTGCGTCAGATGAAAGCCCTCTGTGTACGCAGCTCTGTTGCCAGAAAAGGGGAAGGGCGCTCTCTTTATTTGACATCTTTTTCCCACATGCTCCATTGGCTGAGAGATACACTTGAAAAATAAGACAACTCTGACCTCCTCCCCTCCTCACCCCCCCCCGCCTCTTTTTTTTTTTCACCACCTCAATACGGAACCTCCTCTCGTTTCGGGGCCCTTTGACCGCTCCTCCAATTCAGCCACAATACTTCAGCATGACATGTTTGTAGTTTACCACCAAATAGAGCTGCTAATAAACTTATTTATGCCGAACACACGGGGTTTGCATAATAAAAGGCTGCGGCTCAGAACCTCTTTGTTTCTCTGGCTGTGTTAGCATGTGCTGCAGGTTTTGAGGAGCAGATGGTGAAAGTTTTAAAGATGTGGAAAAGGTTGTCAAAAAAAAACAAAAAAGAACTTTTAGATTTTTAATTCCCATCTAGACACACGGTGGTGGACAAATGTGGTCGTAAACTTTGGCTCATCTTTAGCCCAGAACAAAGATGTAGAGGATGGCTCTCAGCTCTCGAAAGAAAGTGTATTTTCATCATTTACTCACTATTACTTTTATTTAGCGTTTAGTCTCTAAAAGTTCCCCGAAAGCTGGTCAAATGTTTCAGAAGACTTAAGTCAAGTGGTTTAGTTCATAACAAAACATTCTAGCAAAACCAAAATATATTTAAAAACACTAATGAAAGACAAAGAAAAAGTACTTATCAGAGTTTTATCAGAACATAAATGAAATAAAAGTTTGTCGATGAAAATCTGGTTTACAGAGAAAATAGCAAAAAATATAAATAAAAATTGTCAAGTGATTTTTTTTGTTGGAAGAATTTCATTTATTGTCGTTGCTTCATGCTGTACTGTCACTTTAAGAAGCTTTTAGCTTAGCTTCACCTTAGCTTCAAAATAAGCTAAAAGTAGCCAAATATTTTTTTATCTTTTTATCGTTTTACCTTGTTTTGCCTATGTATGTTGGTTGTACTCTGGATAAAGTAAAAACCACTGACCTCTGACCTTTCTGTCTCCAAAGGTCGGCCTGCTGGACCTGCAGCTGAACCGTCTGACCAAGGCTCTGTTTCTGGCCCAGGTGGTTCTGTCTGTGGTCATGGTGGCTCTGCAGGGGTTTGTGGGTCTGTGGTACATCAACCTCTTCAGATTCACCGTTCTCTTCTCCAACATCATCCCCATCAGGTAACCAAAGACCCTGGTGGTCGGAAACACACCTGTGGAGAACTGACCCGACCGGTGTGAACCGGTTTACTGATGGTCTGTCTGTTGAACGTCCGGCCTTACTGTAAATCCACAGCTTGCGTGTGAATCTGGACATGGGGAAGACGGTGTACGGTTGGATGATCATGAAAGATGAGAACATTCCTGGAACTGTTGTCAGAACCAGCACCATCCCCGAAGAACTGGGCCGACTGGTCTACCTGCTGACAGACAAGACGGGTAGGAATTCAGAATATGATAAAAATGTCTAAAGGTTAACCACAGACAGATAAATGGTCATGGAAATGTAAACACAAATTAGCCGACAGCTAAAAGCTAAAGCAGTTTAGAACAAAGAAATAAAAAAGCAAAAAGTTCATATTTACCTAAGTTTTACCTAAGTTAATATTATATACCTAATATTTGCTAAGGTTTAGCAACGTAGCTAACAGTTATTTGAAAGGTAACATCTCATCAATGCGTTTTAATAATTGGTCGGAACTAGTTAATACTTAGTTGAGTTGATGGAAATCTAAAAAATAATGGCTCAAGGATTTAAGTTTATTTTCCAAGTTAGTGCTTAAACTTCAGTCAAAATACTAGAAGAAGCGATGGCTAAAAAACTTTACCACACTTACCTAGAATCTGGAAATGATAAATATTAGAAAATGAGTTACTGTCAAAAACTAAGTAACTTAGAGTTAACTGAGAACAAGGTTTTTATCAAAGTAAAGTGCTAGAAAAAAAACATATTAAAAAATACCTCAGGCTAAAGTTAGACTTTACCAAGGAACAATTAAAAAAAATTCTGATATATTTTGTTATCATGACGGAACAAACAGGAAGAGTTTAAGCGAGGGTTTGAATTCCTGAGCATCCTTATCTGGGCCTGTTTATTTCTTCTTCTCCAACTTCACTATCGACGACTAAATCTCTCTCAGAACAAATAGCTGTTCTTTACTAATGTCGGTGACTGCGGGGGGTGGGGGGAGGGGGGGGGGGGGGTAAAGCCCAGCCTGCTTCACTCTCTCCCGTCTCTCCTGTTACTGATTTAGGTAAGAAGAGATTAACCGTAGGGCCAATTAATCCAGGTTGAGGGTTGAATCGCGGAGAAGAAGGAGAGCAGTTATCTGTCTGTCTGTGGACGGAGCGTCGGGTCTCCACTGCTAATTATACGGGACACGTCGTCCATACTGCTAATGAGATTAGTTCAGGTGCATCAGGCTGCAGGTCCCATGATGCATTGTGGCTGCGGACAAGCTGAGAGTGATCATTATCATTGTCATCCCTGTGTATTACTATTTATGATCTCTATTTTTGTTCCGTGGCTCCTGAAGCTAATGTTTTCACCTCTGGTCAAGAGGAGAATCAGTTCTTACGTTGTGTGTGTGTTTAACAAATTATTATTATTTTTTTATTATTCTGTCTCTGCTGCAGGAACACTGACTCAGAATGAAATGGTCTTCAGGCGGCTGCACCTGGGGACAGTGTCCTACGGCACCGACACCATGGACGAGATCCAGAGTCACATCATCCAGTCCTACGCACAGGTGAGTCCCTGGTCTCAGGTACCAGGACCGAAATCCACTTCACTTAGTTTCACTTTTTTTTACTTTTGAGTCTTTAAAAAAGTGATTTTTTTTTCTCCATTGGTTGAATTTCTAGCTTCATAAACGACCTTCTGTCAGCACGGAGTGTAAATTAGCCTCTGAAGCAAACGTGTCACTTACAGAAAGAACATTTGTATTCACTGTGGGAGTGAAGACAGAGACGTGTGTGTGTGTTGTGTGTGAGTGAGATATTTCCTGTTCGTTCCCGCCCCTCCCTCCCTCCCTCTCTCCTTTTCTCCCTCCCTCCCTCTCTGCTCATCACTTTAATCAATTTTTATATTTAGCCGTGAGGACGATTATTTTTTCCAGGAAAGAAAAACCATATTGTTCATTCATCACACACCGCGTGTGTGTATACGTGTGTGTGTGTGTCCCTCAGCGACTCCCTCTACTGTAAGTGTTTTCCTGACGTGGTGGGGCCTCAGATCTGGTTGGAGACCTGACAGAATGATATTGTTTGCACTCAGCCAGCTCCAGAACAGCTGGTCCACACTGAAACCATCTGCCTCACACCCTTATGTGTAATCTCAGCAAATGAAAAATGACTGGTCCCTTTATTTTTTATTTTTTTCCCTCCTCCTTTATGTTTGTATCACTGAGCAGCGAAACCTTGTAGCATCAAAATCACACTTTTACAGCAAAATGTCATGCTGTGCCATAACTTATGGGCATGATTTAGTAACAAACTTGCGACAGTAACTAAAACTTAACCAGATATACAAAACAAATGCTAAAAGTTAGCCTGAATACTAAATAGTGTTTACAGAAACGCTCAAAGTTGGTCAGTAAAAATGCAAAAAGTAGGAAACGTTTTTAAAAATTTCACAAAAAGAAAATGATCAGGGAAGAGCTTTAAGTTGGCCCAAAAAATAAAAATAAAATATTAAAAACATTTATTGAAAGATCCAAACCAGGCCAAGCATCTGAAACAAAGAAGGTTTAAAAGTGTTTAAAATATGTAGCCAAAACAAAAATGATACTAACACAGAGTAACCAAGGAGGTGCCGGACAAGTTACCCAATAAGAAATCACAAAAAGCTAAAGGTTATTAAAAAGGAAATGTTCAATTATTTAAAAGAACTATAAACATTATTTTAAAAATGTGCCAACAGAAATGCAAAAAGGCAAAACAAGAAATGATCCCCCAAAAAACAGTAAAGTTTTTGAGTGTTTACTAAAGAATCCAAACATAAAAATGATGATTTTCTTTTTTAAATATTATTACAAATGTTTTATAGGACAGCTTCTCCCTCTTTGTTGCCTTTTATTAAAAACATCCGACGGACAGAGCGACCCCATGACATCTGTGTTAATCTCTCTTTTGTTTCCGACCACTTTTACCGTCTCGTGTCCTCACTGTCCTTCTGCTTCTGCCTGGCAGGACCGAAGCTTCATCATAAGCCAGAGCTGAAATGATTCAGTGGAGAACAAATGCAGCTGCCACTGGGTCGCAGGATCGCTCAGCCGTGTCTTTGACAAAGTTTTTGACATTGTGGACGTTTTCCTTTTTTTAATTTATCTGGAGTGCTCTTTATAATTAACAAATCATCTGTTGACATTAACGTTTTTAATGGCTTTGTGGCCCAGCACCAGTTCTGAATGAACGACCTGTATTTTATAACTTTTAACAATTGACAATTTGAAAAAAAAAAAAGAGAGAAAATTGAATGTTTCGGGTTTCGACTCAAAACTGCTAACGTTAGTTTAGCTCTTTTGCAGTTTCTGGCTTCAAATACATTTTGTTAAACATTTTTTGTTAAACAATTGTATATCAGGCTGCTAACGTATCACCTTGTTGTCGTCACAGCCCACACCCCAGTCCTCCAGCGGTAACACCAGTGGACCACCTGCACCGAAGAAGACGCTGTCGTCAGCACCCAAGGTTCGCAAGAGCGTCAGCAGTCGCATCCACGAGGCCGTGAAAGCCATCGCCTTGTGCCACAACGTCACGCCCGTCTACGAGCCGCCTGCTAACGCAGAAACGGAGACGGCGGAGGCGGACCAGGACTTTAGCGACGACAACCGGACCTACCAGGCCTCCAGCCCCGATGAGGTATGTACGTCTCTGGTTTAAATTTTTGGAAACTCGAACTCAAACTCCGGGTGTAAAACAAAGGTTTCACACTGTGGTCTGAAAGTTGAGGATGTCATCATTTAAAATATGTCAGAGGAGTCAGGAGTCGTTTCCTCCTCGTCCCACTGTTTTATTCCTGACCCTAAATAACCCCAGTTTGTCATTACAGTCGTTTCACGAGCGGTAGGTCAAAGGTCATGAATTCCTCTTGAAGGTTAAGCTCTTCATTTTTCTGTCTTTGCTCCTGGAGAATTTACGGCTCAAACTGAAGAAAGGATGTAGCTCACAGAGCGTCCCCCTGGGCTTCACCCGAGCCTCATTTTTATTTGGTAGTTCCTCCATTTAACGCCGAGGTTTATGACTGTACGGACCCGGACAGAACACACAAAGAACTCACTGTTCTGTCTAACAATCAACCGCAGTTACGTTTTGATTTTTTCGACCACAGATTTCTTGTTATTCTAACATTTTAGACATAAATTCAGAAAATATATATTTTTGTTCTTAAATTTGGAAATTTATTCTCCTTCAAGTCCAGTCTACAGATCTTAACAGTCAGAATCCTGACTTTTTTTCCTTAATTTTGACTCTTGTTTCTATTTATGGAGGAAAACCATGACATAAGTGATTCTAAATCATGTATCAAACTCGAGGCCCGCGGGCCAAATGCGGCCTCCTCTTGTACTTTAAGTGATGGAGCAGTTGAAGGAGAGTCTGTTAAAGTGTTTGACAGAGTTCACCTTCACAGACAAAAGTGTCCACGTCATTGACGTTGTTTTGGCCGAGGCTCCTTGAAGCCACCGTCAGACTAACATTCTGTTGTTGTTGTTGTTGTTGTCAAACCCGGGCGGAGAACAGGTGTTGGAGGAACAATCACTGGTTTCCATTTGTTCTGTCCAGACTTGATGTATATATTTAATTCCATCTCTGCTCTGTCTTTCCTGTCTTCATTGTCTCTGACACTGCGGGGATTGATCAATATTTAATTTTCTCTGTAGGTTTGTGATTGTTGTTGAACCTCTCCCTCCCTCTCCCCGTGCCTCCTCCCTCTCCCTCCCTCCCTCCCTCCCTCCTCACTTCTTGTCTGACGCCTCTGCTCCTCTGTGGGTGTCGGTGATCGTTCTCTCAGCCCTGGCTCTCTGCTCTAATCCAATGAGCCGCCATAAAAGAGGTGAAGAAAACCGGGCGCTAAAGGTCACCGCAGGGTTCGTATAACAGCGTCCCGCCTTGACCTTTGACCCGGGTAAAATCAGATCACAGCGGTTCACTGTAATCCTGCGTCCCACCTTGACCTTTGACACTGGTTAAACGGGATCACAGCGGTTGACTGTGGTCTTTTTTTTTTAATGAGCAGCAGGAGCCAATAGGGGGCGACATTAACATTTCTGATTACACATTTTGGAAGTATGTGATTGTTATGAGTTTTAGAGCTTGTTACGGAGGTGTTGACCAAACAGTGGCAGCTCCAGGGCCTTTTCCCGCCTTAAATTGTCGGTGACATTTAAGAGGCGGGATTTAACAGCGCGGGGCCTCGGTTTTCATCACGACAAGCTCCGCAGTTGCTGTTTTTTCAGGGGCAGAGCTGCCACTCTGATTTACATGATCAGCAGAACACGGTGAACACGGTGGGGATGACTGATGGGGTTGTTGAAGTCCAGTCTGCCGGCGTCGTAAAGGCGTGTGCTGCAGCCTCTTCTATTACCGTGGCGACGCGGCTGATTCATGTGCCGTTGGTATCAAAGTTGACAAGGCTTTAAATAGTTTCACTTGGAGCTGATAAAGGAGATTAAAAGGCCCGGCTTCAGGATGTTCTGCAGCGCTGAGAGAGCCCACACACACACACACACACACACAGACACACACACACAGACACTGGGATAATGATACACAGATGTGTGTTAAAGTAAATACAGGCAGCCCCCTCTTTACGGAGCTCAAAGGGGGAGGCGGAGGGTGGGGGGGGGTGACGGGGTATGAACAGGAAGTTTCAATTTGTAGGTCAGAGTATAATAACAACCTTTGAGTGAGCAAATTGAAAATGAAGCCATTGAGGGTTGAGTCGTGTGCAGCTGAAGACCCACTCGG